TGGCCTCATCTTTGCCTTTGCGCTTGGGGGGCTCGGACCCCATTTTTGGGGGAGGGGGTGGGCAGCAGCCATGGGACCCCCTTGTCCCCATCCCAATGTTCCCAATCCCAGTGTTCCCAATCCCAGTGTTCCCCATCCCAGTGTTCCCAATCCCGGTGTTCCCAATCCCGGTGTTCCCAATCCCAGTGTTCCCAATCCCGGTGTTCCCAATCCCAGTGCTCCCAATCCCAGTGTTCCCAATCCCAGTGTTCCCAATCCCAGTGTTCCCAATCCCGGTGTTCCCCATCCCGGTGTTCCCAATCCCGGTGTTCCCAATCCCGGTGTTCCCCATCCCAGTGTTCCCCATCCCGGTGTTCCCAATCCCGGTGTTCCCAATCCCAGTGTTCCCCATCCCAGTGTTCCCAATCCCAGTGTTCCCCATCCCAGTGTTCCCAATCCCGGTGTTCCCCATCCCAGTGTTCCCCATCCCAGTGCTCCCAAGGAGGGAGGAGGCGCTGGGGTCCAGGCTGGTGGTGGTGGTTTATTGGTTTATTCATTGCTCGATAGCGGTGCTGCTGCGGCGCGGTCTCACATGCGTGTGCGGGGGGGGGGGAAAGGACACACACGGAGGGGGACCCCCCCCCCCATGGGTGATGGGCACCAATGGGAAGGGAGGTGGAGATGGGAGCTGGGGGGATGCCGGAGCCAAAGGATGCTCGGAGCACACTGGGATGCCAAAGGATGCTCGGAGCACACCCGGATGCCAAAGGATGCTCGGAGCACACCAGGATGCCAAAGGATGCTCAGAGCACACCGGGATGCCAAAGGATGCTCAGAGCACACCAGGATGCCAAAGGATGCTCAGAGCACACCAGGATGCCAAAGGATGCTCGGAGCACACCGGGATGCCAAAGGATGCTCGGAGCACACCGGGATGCCAGAGGATGCTCGGAGCACCCCGGGATGCCAAAGGATGCTCGGAGCACAACAGGATGCCAAAGGATGCTCGGAGCACACCGGGATGCCAAAGGATGCTCGGAGCACACCGGGATGCCAAAGGATGCTCGGAGCACACTGGGATGCCAAAGGATGCTCGGAGCACACCCGGATGCCAAAGGATGCTCGGAGCACACCGGGATGCCAAAGGATGCTCGGAGCACACCGGGATGCCAAAGGATGCTCGGAGCACACCGGGATGCCAAAGGATGCCGGACACACCGGGACGAGGGATGCTCGGAGCACACTGGGATGCCAAAGGATGCTCGGAGCACACCGGGATGCCAAAGGATGCTCGGAGCACACCGGGATGCCAAAGGATGCTGGAGCACACCATGCGGATGCCAAAGGATGCTCGGAGCACACCGGGATGCCAAAGGATGCTCGGAGCACACCGGGATGCCAAAGGATGCTCGGAGCACACCGGGATGCCAAAGGATGCTCGGAGCACACCGGGATGCCAAAGGATGCTCGGAGCACACTGGGATGCCAAAGGATGCTCGGAGCACACCGGGATGCCAAAGGATGCTCGGAGCACACCGGGATGCCAAAGGATGCTCGGAGCACACCGGATGCCAAAGGATGCTCGGAGCACACCGGGATGCCAAAGGATGCTCGGAGCACACCGGGATGCCAAAGGATGCTCGGAGCACACCGGGATGCCAAAGGATGCTCGGAGCACACTGGGATGCCAAAGGATGCTCGGAGCACACTGGGATGCCAAAGGATGCTCGGAGCACACCGGGATGCCAAAGGATGCTCGGAGCACACCGGGATGCCAAAGGATGCTCAGAGCACACCCGGATGCCAAAGGATGCTCGGAGCACACCCGGATGCCAAAGGATGCTCGGAGCACACCGGGATGCCAAAGGATGCTCGGAGCACACTGGGATGCCAAAGGATGCTCAGAGCACACCGGGATGCCAAAGGATGCTCGGAGCACACCGGGATGCCAAAGGATGCTCGGAGCACACCGGGATGCCAAAGGATGCTCGGAGCACACTGGGATGCCAAAGGATGCTCAGAGCACACCGGGATGCCAAAGGATGCTCGGAGCACACTGGGATGCCAAAGGATGCTCGGAGCACACCGGGATGCCAAAGGATGCTCGGAGCACACCGGGATGCCAAAGGATGCTCAGAGCACACTGGGATGCGGAGGATGCTCAAGGGATGCACAAGGATGCCAGGGTGGGAGGATGCTGGAGCTGGAGGATGCTCGAGTGCACCAGAGCCGGGTGCCAGAGGATGGTCCAGGCACACCAGAGCCGGGATGCTGGGAGCTGTCGGATGCACACTGGGACCAGGATGGCACAGGATGCTGGAGGGACACTGGGAGCTGGGATGCCAGAGCTGGAAGATGCTGGAGCACGCTGGAGCTGGGATGCTGGAGGATGCTCAAAGCACACCAGGACCAGGATGCTGGATGCTGGAGCCCGGATGCCAGAGCAGGAGGATGCCGGAGCTGGAAGATGCTTGAGCACACCAGAGCCGGGATTGCTGGAGGATGCTCAAGGAACACTGGGATGCTGGAGGATGCTCACGGAATGCCAGGAGCTGGGATGCTCAAAGCACACCACAGCTGGATGCTGGAGGATGCTCCAGGCCCATGGGATGCAGGAGGATGCTCCATGCCCATGGGATGCAGGAGGATGCTCCATGCCCATGGGATGCAGGAGGATGCTCCAGGCCCATGGGATGCAGGAGGATGCTCCATGCCCATGGGATGCTGGAGGATGCTCCATGCCCATGGGATGCAGGAGGATGCTCCATGCCCATGGGATGCAGGAGGATGCTCCATGCCCATGGAATGCAGGAGGATGCTGGAGGCAGAGCAGGGCAGGAGGAAGCAAGGAAGGGGGATACCAAGGAGCCAGTGATACTGGAACCACCCTGGAGCTGGGGGACCCTGGGGGGACATTGGTTGGGATGGGGGGGACACAACACCAGAACCAGGGGCTGGCGCTGCCACCTCCACCCCATTCCCATCTCCTGCTGCATCCCCATCACCACCTCCCTGCCCCGTATCCCATAGGGCAGGAGCCATGGGGACCCCCTTGAGAGGGGAGGGGGCAACGGGGACGCCCATCACCGGGTGTCCCCAGCAGGGCAGCGGTGCCATGGGTACCCCCATGTGGTCCCCAGTGCTGGGGCAAGGAGAAGCTCTATTAAAACGCCATCATTGTGGCCCGAACCCCTTGGGTTCGCTGTGGCAGTGACAGGCACCGGGGGACCGGCTCTAAACAGGCTCCTGGTAATGGGGGGGGGATGCTCCGGGGGTCCCCATAGAGGGAATGCTCCCGGCACCGATCCTTGTGCGTCCCCGTGCGGCTCCGTCCCTGTGGATGGGGCTGGGCTCGATGGTGTCAAAGACATTGGGTGAGACTTGGCTGGATGAGGACCTGGTGTGGGGATGGGTACGGGGTCACAGTGATGCTGTCACACACACACACACACACCCCTTCCCCTTCTCCCGCTGTTCCCGGTATTCCCAGTGTTCCCACCTCGCATTAATCCACGTCCCCGTTGTGCCGGTGCTGGTCGGGCCCCGGTTGCTCCTCACTGGGGGAGAGCTCATCAATGGATGACTGGTCCGTGATGCCTGCGGAGGGAGGTGGGGATGGGGGGGGCTCCTGACCCCATAGATTGGGGGGTTCCCACCATGGGCTGTGCTGGTGGTTATGGTGACCATTGTGGCTATGGTGGCAATGGTTTCATGGTGGCTGTGGTGGCATAGTGGCAATGGTGACCGTGGTGGCCATGGTGGTCTGGTGACCACATGGTGTCCGTGGTGGCTATGTTGACTATGATGACCATGGTGGCCATTGTGACCATTGTGGCCACAGCGTCCATTGTGGCCATGGTGGCCTTGATGACCATTGTGACCATGATGGCCATGGTGGACATAGTGGCTATGGTGGCCTGGTGACCGTATGGTGTCCATGGTGGCTATGATACCCATGGTGACCATTGTGGCTATGGTGTCCATGATGACCATTGTGGCCATGGTGTCCACTGTGGCCATAGTGGCTATGGTGGCCTGATGAGCGCATGGTGGCCATGGTGGCCATGGTGGCCTGGTGACTGCATGGTGTCCATGGTGGCTATGGTGGCCTGGTGACCTCATGGTGTCCATGGTGGCTATGGTGGCCATGGTGGCTATGATGCCCATGGTGCCCATTGTGGCCATGGTGGCCTGGTGACCTCATGGTGGCCATGGTGGCTATGATGCCCATGGTGCCCATTGTGGCCATGGTGGCCTGGTGCCCGCATGGTGTCCATGGTGGCTATGATGCCCATGGTGCCCATAGTGGCCATGGTGTCCATGGTGGCCTGGTGACTGCATGGTGTCCATGGTGTCCCTGGTGGCTATGATGGCTATGGTGGCCTGGTGCTCGCATGGTGGTCATGGCGGCTATGATGCCCATGGTGCCCATTGTGGCCATGGTGCCCATTGTGGCCCTGGTGGCTGTCACCTACCGCTCGCTGCCCGCTCCTTCCACTTCTGCTTGTTCTCCTGCAGGTACTTGAGCCACGTGGAGCGGAACGTGGCCAGGTTGGCCTTGATGTCCCCCACGTCCACGTGTTCATCCAGGCCCGGCTGCCGCCACTGCGAGCTGAGGGACAGGGACTGATGGGACCAGGACCGGAGCCTCCACTGCTCCCAATGGAGTGGGAGCCCCCCGAGCCCAGGCTGGGCCCCATCGACATCCCATAGGGAAGGGGAAACTGAGGCAAAGGACACCTTGGGTGTCCCCAGGGGGCCTGCACATCTGTATCCTGCCCCTATCAATGGCATTGGGTGTCCCCAGAGTGCTGGCACATCTCTACCCTGCCTGTATCAATGGCATTGGGTGCCTGCACATCTGTATCCTGCCCCATCAATGGCATTGGGGGAGCCCAGGTGGTCAGCACATCTGTATCCTGCCCCATCATTGCCATTCGGTGTCCCCAGGGTGCTGGTGCATCTGTATCCTGCCCATATCAATGGCATTGGGTGAAAGCACATCTGTATCCTGCCCATATCAATGGCATTGGGTACCAGCACATCTGTATCCTGCCCCATCAATGGCATTGGCTACCAGCACATCTGTATCCTTCCCTATCAATGGCATTGGGTGAAAGCAGATCTGTATCCCGCCCCATCAATGGCATTGGGTACCAGCACATCTGTATCCTTCCCTATCAATGGCATTGAGTACCAGCACATCTGTATCCTTCCCTATCAATGGCATTGGGTACCAGCACATCTGTATCCTGCACGCATCAATGGCACTGAGTACCAGCACATCCGTATCCTGCCCCATCAAGGGCACTGGGTACCAGCACATCTGTACCCTTCCCTATCAATGGCATTGAGTACCAGCACATCTGTATCCTGCCCCATCAATGGCATTGGGTACCAGCACATCTGTATCCTACCCATAGCAGTGACATTGGGTACCAGCACATCTGTATCCTACCCATAGCAGTGACATTGGGTACCAGCACATCAAGGTGATCGCGGGTGTCCCCCACCAACCTGCCCTGCTGGTTGCCCACGGCGTTGCCATTGCCCTTGGTGCCCTCCTCGGCCGTGGGCAGCACCATCCTCTCGGCCACATCGGTCAGCACGGAGAAGGTCGGCTCCACGATGAAGTCGATGAACCCTGGCGTGGGGCAGGGACACGGTGACCATGGGGACCCCCCTTATAGGGGGCCAGGATGGGGGCTGGGCCATTCTCCATCCATCCCCATCCATTCCCACTCACCAATCTGGGACTGGGCCACCAGCGTGGACGTGCGGTCGCAGAGCGGCGAGAAGGGGAGCCCCAGCTCGGCCTCTTTGTCCCCCTGGCAACACAACGGAGCCCCATCCCTAAGGGATGCCCGCATCCATCCATCCATCATCCATCCATCCATCCATTCATCATCCATCCATCCATCATCCATCATCCATCCATCCACCATCCATCCATCCATCCATTCATCATCCGTCCATCCATCATCCATCACCCATTCATCCATCCATCCATCCATCATTCATCCATCCATTCATCATTCATCCACCCATCATCCATCTATCCATCATCCATCCATCCATCCGTCCATCATCCATCCATCCGTCCATCATCCATCCATCCATCCATCATCCATCCATCCATCATCCATCCATTATCCATCCATCCATCCGTCCCTGCATCCATCCATCATCCATCCATCCATCATGCATCCATCCGTTCATCCATCGTCCATCCATCATCCATCCATCCACCCATCCATCCATCCGTCCATCCATCATCCATCACCCATTCATCCATCCATCCATCCATCATCCATCCATCCATTCATCATTCATCCATCCATCATCCATCCATCCATCATCCATCCATTATCCATGCATCCATCCATCCATCCATCCATCATCCATCCATCATCCATCCATTATCCATCCCATATCCATCATCCATCCATCATCCATCCATTATCCATGCATCCATCCATCCCTGCATCCATCCATCATCCATCCATCCATCCATGCATCCATCCATCCATCATCCATCCATCATCCATCCATTATCCATGCATCCATCCATCCATCCATCCAACATCCATCATCCATCCATCCATCCATGCATCCATCCATCCATCATCCATCCATCATCCATCCATTATCCATGCATCCATCCATCCCTGCATCCATCCATCATCTATCCATTATCCATCCATCCATCCATCATCCATCCATCATCCCTCCATCCATCCCTGTCCGTCCCCTCTTTTACCCAGCCTCACGGCTGGACCCTTACCTGCCTGAAGAACTCCTCCATGAGGGCCTTGGTCCAGCGGCTGTGCACCGACCACTGCTTGGTGGGGTGGCTGATGTCAGCTGCATGCAGCAGCAGCGACAACACCTTGGACTTGTCGATCCTGGATAAGGGGGGGACCCCAAAAATGACCTTTATCCCCCCCTTTTAACCCCAAAACTGAGCATCATCCCCCCTTTTAAACCCCAAAACTGACCTTGATTCCCCCCTTTTAACCCAAAACTGACCTTGATCCCCCCCTTTTAACCCCAAAAATGACCTTCATCCCCCCCTTTTAACCCCCAAACTGACCTTGAGCCCCCCCTTTTAACCCAAAACTGACCTTGATCCCCCCCTTTTAACCCCAAAAATGACCTTCATCCCCCCCTTTTAACCCCAAAACTGACCTTGATCACCCCCTTTAAACCCAAAACCAAGCTTGATTCCCCTCCTTTTAAACCCAAAACTGAGCTTGACCCCCCTGTTTTAAACCCCAAAATGAGCTTGATCCCCCCCTTTTATACCCAAAACTGACCTTGATCCCCCCAATTTTAAACCCCAAAACTGAGCTTGATCCCCCCAATTTTATACCCAAAACTGTGCTTAATCCCCCTGTTTTAACCCCAAAACTGACCTTGATCCCCCCCTTTTAAACCCCAAAATTGACCTTGATCCCCCTGTTTTAACCCAAAACCAAGCTTGATCCCTGCAGTTTTAAACCCCAAAACTGAGATTGATCCCCCCGATTTTATACCCAAAACTGAGCTTAATCCCCCCCTTTTAACCCCAAAACGATTTTAAAACCGAGCTTTGATCCCCCCCTTTTAAACCCCAAAACTGACCTTGATCCCCCCCTTTTAACCCCAAAACTTACCTTGATCCCCCTGTTTTAAACCCAAAACCGAGCTTGATCCCTGCGGTTTTAAACCCAAAACTGACCTAGATCCCCCCTGTTTTAAACCCCAAAACTGAGCTTAATCCCCCCTTTTTAACCCCAAAACCAATCTTGATCCCCCCCATTTTAACCCCACCTCCCCCTAACACCGGGCCCCATTGGCCCTCACCTCTCGAGCTGCTGCAGCGCCGTCTTCATGCTCTTGACCTGCTGGAAGTGGCAGGACATGTCTGTGGCCAGCACCATCTCGATCACCAGCGCCCGCAGCTCCCTGCACCCCAACGAGATAGAGGGGGGGGGAACAGCATCAGCCCCCCCGCATCCCCATCCGCCCCCCCAAAAACCAAGGGGGGGGGGTGAGGGATGCTTTGGGAGATGGGGGGACCCCTTACACGAACTCGTCCTTGGTGAGGTTGACGAAGATGTTCATCTCCTCGTCCTGCATGAGCCGGAAGGCGGCGCTGATGTGGTGGTTCTCCAGCACCGAGCGGTCGTTGTACAGGATGGCGCAGTCTGACCTGGGGGTACAGCACCAAGGAAAGGGGGGGGGGTCCCCAGGATGGGGGGCAGAGCATCTGTATCCGTGGCATTGGGTACCACCAAGGTGCTGGCACATCTGTATGCATGGCATTGGGTACCACCAAGATGCTGGCACATCTGTATCCGTGGCCTTGGGTACCACCAAGGTGCTGGCACATTTGTATGCATGGCATTGGGTACCACCAAGATGTTGGCACAGCTGTATCCATGGCCTTGGGTACTACCAAGGTGTTGGCACATCTGTATCGATGGCCTTGGGTACCAGCAAGGTGCTGGCACAGCTGTATCCATGGCCTAGGGTACCACCAAGGTGCCGGAACATCTCTATGCATGGCCTTGGGTACCACTAAGGTGCTGGCACACATGTATGCATGGCCTTGGGTACCACCAAGATGCTGGCACACATGTATACATGGCATTGGGTACCACCAAGATGCGGGCACACATGTATGCATGGCATTGGGTACCACCAAGATGCTGGCACACATGTATGCATGGCATTGGGTACCACCAAGGTGCTGGCACATCTGTATCCTGCCTGCATCAATGGTATTGGGTACCCCCAAGGTGCCAGCACATCTGTATCCTGCCCCTATCAGTGACATTGGGTGTCCTGGGTGTCCCCAAGGTGCTGCTTTCCATGCCCATAGCAGGTCCCCAGCCCTGCTCATGCCACGCCACCCATTCCGTGCTATGCAATGCCACCCATTCCATGCTATGCCATGCCACCCATGCCACCCATGACACCCATTCCATGCTATGTCATGCCACCCATCCCATGCTATGCCATGGCACCCATCCCATGCTATGCCATGCCACCCATCCCATGCTATGCCATGGCACCCATCCCATGCTATGCCATGGCACCCATTCCATGCTATGCCATGCCACCCATCCCATGCCACCCATGGCACCGGTGCCCCCCTCACTTGGTCTGGATGTGGAAGCTGTTGGTGGTGCCCGTGTGCTCGTAGTCATGGATGGCGGCCGCGAAGATGATGGCCAGGACCTCGAGCTCCGTCAGGTAGTGCTGGGGTGGGGGGCACACACACACACACACACACGTCACATGTCACACGCATGTGCAAGCGTGTGTGGACACGTGTGAACCATGCAGGATTGGTGTGTGCATGTGCTGGAGTCACCCAATGCCACCCTGCTCCCCCCATCATCCCGGCACTGTTGCCATGGTGGCACCGTCTCCATGGCAACAAGCATCGCTTGGACCAGCATGGCCGGGGCACCCATTGGACAGCATGGGACCCCCAATTGGACCCCATAGGACCCCCATGGGATCCCCAATGGGATCCTACCAACATGCCCGTGCGGACCAGGAAGCAGTGGACGGTCTGGGTGACGTCGGCAGCGTGGACCTGGTTGTGGTAGGGATTCCGGTACTTCCCATAGCCCGTTTCCAGTGCATCCAGCAGCGTGTTCAGGAAGACAGCCGGGATCTGAGGCACGGATACATGGATGGGAAGGCCTCCCATGGCCAGCACCCATGGGTGGGCACGGGCAAGGGGCATGGGTGCACCTTGAAGCGGCTGTTGAGGTTGTGTCGGGTGAGGAGCTCGAAGACGATGGTCCTCAGGGAGTGCTCCTCCGTCATCTGGTTCAGTGTGAAGACATCGAAGCACCACACATCGAGGCTCTGAGGGGGGGAATGGGATACAGGGGCATCACCCCGGGGGGAGGATATCCCATGGGATGCTCAGCAAGGCACAGGGAAGCTCGGGAATGATGAGCCGTGGGAGGGATGCACCCGGGATGTGCTAAGGATGAACAGGGATGCACAAGGATGCACAAGGGCAGGGATGCTCAGGGATGGCCACTGAAGCGCAGGGATACTGAGCCATGGAAGGGATGCACAGGGATGCACCAGGGATGAACAGGGATGCACAAGGATGCACAAGGGCAGGGATGCTCAGGGATGCCCCAGGATGGCCACTGAAGCGCAGGGATGCTGAGCCATGGAAGGGATGCACCCGGGATGCACAGGGATGCACCAGGGATGAACAGGGATGCACCAGGGATGAACAGGGATGCACAGGGATGCACTAGGGATGCACCCGGGATGCACAGGGATGCACCAGGGATGAACAGGGATGCACCCGGGATGCACAGGGATGCACCAGGGATGTACAGGGATGCACAGGGATGCACTAGGGATGCACAAGGGCAGGGATGCTCAAGGATGCCCCAGGGATGGCCACTGAAGCACAGAGATGTTGAGCCATGGAAGGGATGCACCCAGGATGCACTAAGGATGAGCAGGGATGAACAGGGATGCACTAAGGATGCACAGGGATGCACTAAGGATGCACTAGGGATGCACAAGGGCAGGGATGCTCAGGGATGGCCACTGAAGCACAGAGATGTTGAGCCATGGAAGGGATGCACCCAGGATGCACTAAGGATGCACAGGGATGCACAGGGATGCACAGGGATGCACAGGGGTGCACAGGGATGCACAAGGCCAGGGATGCTCAGGGATGCCCACAGGGATGCTGAGCCCTGCCCAGGGGTACCCAACCCATGCCCAGCAGCAGTGGGTGCCATCTCCCATGGGAAAATCCCATCCATCCCTATGGAATCGGGGTGCCCCCCCCCATCCCCCAGTCACCCCCTGGTACCTTCAGGCAGTTGAGGACGGAGCTGGAGTAAGTGGGCCCCACGGCTGTGTACAACCGGCGAAGCATCCTGCAAGGGGTGGGGTGATGTGGGTGCTGGGGCAAAGGTGGGTGCTGGGGGCAAATGTGGGTGCTGGGGGCAAAGATGGGTGCTGGGGGCAAAGATGGGTGCTGGGGGCAAAGATGGGTGCTGGGGGCAAAGATGGGTGCTGGGGCAAAACTGGGTGCTGGGGGAAAAGTGGGTGCTGGGGCAAAGGTGGGTGCTGGGGCAAAGATGGGTGCTGGGGGAAAAGATGGGTGCTGGGGGCAAACGTGGGTGCTGGGGGAAAAGTGGGTGCTGGGGCAAAGATGGGTGCTGGGGGAAAAGATGGGTGCTGGGGGAAAAGTGGGTGCTGGGGCAAAGATGGGTGCTGGGGGCAAACGTGGGTGCTGGGGGAAAAGTGGGTGCTGGGGCAAAGATGGGTGCTGGGGCAAAGGTGGGTGCTGGGGGAAAAGTGGGTGCTGGGGGAAAAGTGGGTGCTGGGGCAAAGGTGGGTGCTCGGGGCCTTTGCACTCAGGAACCCAACTTTGCCCTTGGGACCATCCCCCGGGTGCTCAGCTCCCTCTGTGATGCTTGGGGCTCTCTTGGGGTGCTCAGCTCCCTCTGTGATGCTCAGGGCCCCTCTTGGGGTGCTCAGCACCCCCTGTGTCTCTCACCCCCCCATGCCCCATCCCCACCTCTCCACGAAGATGCCGGCCTGCACCGCGTGCACGATGCTCCGGAACTTGGGCTTCTCCTCGGCCCGGCGGCCCTTGGCCCGCGCCTGCTGCGTGAAGGTGGCCGCCAGCCAATCCCGCACCTCCGAGGGCACGGCCGCATCCGAGCCCATCTCCCGCAGCTCATCCTCCGTGTCCAGCATCTGCCTGCGGGGGGGGCACAGCCATAAAGTCAATGGGGGTCAATGGGGGACAATGGGGGTCAATGGGGGTCAATGGGGGTTAATGGGGTCAATGGGGGTCAATGGGGGTCAATGGGGGTCAATGGGGGTCAATGGGGGTCAATGGGGGTCAATGGGGGTCAATGGGGATCAATGGGGGTCAATGGAGGTCAATGGTTGTCAGTGGTGGTCAGTGGGGGTCAGTGGGGTCAATGGGGGTCAATGGAGGTCAATGAGGGTCAATGGGGGTCAATGGAGGTCAATAGGGATCAATGGGGGTCAATGGGGGTCAATGGTGGTCAACGGTAGTCAACAGTGGTCAACGGTAGTCAGTGGTGGTCAGTGGTGGTCAATGGGGTCAGTGGGATTCAATGGCGGTCAATGATGGTCAATGGTGGCCAATGGAGGTCAATGGGGGTCAGTGGTTGTCAGTGGTGATCAATGGTGGTCCATGGGGGTCAATGGAGGTCAATAGGGGTCAATGGTCATCAATTGTGCTCAATGGGGGTCAATGGTGCTCAGTGGTGGTCAATGGCTGTCAAAGGTGGTCAATGGTGGTCAATGGCGGTCAATGGTGGTCAGTGGTGGTCAATGGTGGTCAATGGTGCTCAATGGTGGTCAATGGTGGTCAATGGTGTTCAATGGTGGTCAATGGTGCTCAATGGTGCTCAATGGTGCTCAGTGGTGCTCAATGGTGCTCAATGGTGTTCAACGGTGGTCAGTGGCGGTCAATGGCCCTCAATGGTGTTCAACGGTGTTCAATGGTGCTCCATGGTGGTCAGTGGTGCTCAATGGTGGTCAATGGCAGTCAGTGGTGGTCAATGGCGATCAATGGTGCTCAATGGCGGTCACTGGTGCTCAGTGGTGCTCAATGGTGGTCAGTGATGCTCAATGGTGGTCAATGGTGCTCAATGGTGTTCAGCGGTGCTCAATGGTGCTCCATGGTGGTCAGTGGTGCTCAATGGTGGTCAATGGCAGTCAGTGGTGGTCAATGGCGATCAATGGTGCTCAATGGTGGTCAATGGCAGTCAATGGTGCCCAATGGTGTTCAGCGGTGTTCAATGGTGCTCCATGGTGGTCAAGGGCACCCCTTACCCCCAGCCCCTCACCGGGTCTCGTCGATGTAGACGGCCTCGAGCAGGGAGGCCGCGTACTCCAGGTTCCGCTTGAGCTCCTCCACGTTCACCTCGCCCGAGTCCAGCTGCTTCACCAGGAAGCGCAGCCTAAGGGCAGCGGGCGCTGTGGGGCGCTAGGGGTGCCATAGGGGCCCTGTGCTATGGGTGCTAGGGGTGCCATAGGGGCCTCTGCTATGGGTGCCATAGGGACCTCTGCTATGGGTGCTAGGGGTGCCATAGGGGCCCTGTGCTATGGGTGCTAGGGGTGCCATAGGGATCCTGGGCTATGGGTGCTATGGGTGCCATAGGGGCCTCTGCTATGGGTGCCATAGGGACCTCTGCTATGGGTGCTAGGGGTGCCATAGGGGCCCTGTGCTATGGGTGCTAGGGGTGCCATAGGGATCCTGGGCTATGGGTGCTATGGGTGCCATAGGGGCCTCTGCTAGGGGTGCTAGGGGTGCCATAGGGGCCTCTGCTAGGGGTGCTAGGGGTGCCATAGGGGTCCTGGGCTATGGGTGCTATGGGTGCCATAGGGGCCTCTGCTAGGGGTGCTAGGGGTGCCATAGGGATCCTGTGCTATGGGTGCCATAGGGGCCTCTGCTATGGGTGCTATGGGTGCCATAGGGACCCTGGGCTATGGGTGCCATAGGGGTGCCATAGGGGCCTCTGCTATGGGTGCTAGGGGTGCCATAGGGATCCTGTGCTATGGGTGTCATAGGGACCTCTGCTATGGGTGCTATGGGTGCCATAGGGACCCTGGGCTATGGGTGCCATAGGGGTTCTGGGCTATGGGTGGCATAGGGACCTCTGCTAATG